CCTGGATCAAGTGCCTTGCTGTCTATTTGTTTTGTGTGTGCAGCAAACTGTGAGTAGCATTTTTGAGTTACTTTTATAACTATGAGCTGGGATGTCTGTCCTGCAAATACTGTAGTTTAGGTGAGAGACCGAACTTTTACTTGTTAACATTGCTAACCTTCAGATCTCAGAGGCTCAGTGGAGTTTGAAAATAGCGCTCCTTATGTTCTGTGCCGGTATTAGCGAATGTTACAAGGTCAGTATGAAGGTATGACAATCTGAATACCGCCCAAGCTTAACCAGTGACCAGGGCCAGAGGAGAGGAGTGGGGGATGGGTGAGACACAAAGAAAAAGGTGTTGCTGCAAAGAAGCAGAGATGACGTAATGAGATGGAGGACAGAGGTGGGGTGGGAGGGTAGTGTCTGTGACTCTGACGGTAAAGGAGGGAGGGTGGAAAGTGCTGGGGAAATGGCTTTTCCCTGATAGAACACAGATGACGGGGGTGAGGGATGGAGATGAAGAAAGTAGAGAAAGGTGTGTCTAAATAGATACAGGTGGCCCCCTTATCATTGGTTTTGTCTGTTTCACACCATTTTAAAGCTAGTGTCAATAATTGTGTTGTAGCTTCCTCTATTTTTCTCCTCCTAGTTTCCTCCCCTTCCTCTCATTGTCTCCTCTCCTTTATCTGCTCGGAATAGCGAAAACTAGAAAAGCGAGAGAGAGACTCTCTCTGTAGGCTGTTCAGGTATATACCTAGTCCCCCAGTAGGTAACTCTATTAACCGAGTTCAACGCACATGCAAACATCTCTTTAGTGTCCTAAAGCTAAGTTGTGCTTCCCATAAGTGGATAAGGAGCGTGTGTGTCATGGAGAGGTTGGTTCCTGGCCCTGTCTTGGTTCCAGCAGTACAATAGCCTTTTTCCCAACTGTGTATGTGTCTAGCACAATCCCTTTGTCTTCCTGACTGTGTGGACATCTGAGCACCTGTGTGATTGATTGAATGAATGTATTACTTTTTTTATATATATATACATAAGAGCACTCCAGCTGGCGAGTCGTTGTGTAGAGGAGCGCGAGGGATAGTGTTGTGTAGAGAGAGTGTTTTCCATTAGCGTTGGCTAATCAGCCGGCTACTTTTTCCACTTCATATTAACTAGGTTACTTTTCATTTAAAAGTTTCAATTCGTAAGTCCGTTGAGCGCTCTTCCGCTAGAATTAATGATATGCATCTTCTAGTGATCTATTGATAGGACAGAGTCCTGTCAGTCACAAAGCAAGCGATGACAGGGAAACGTAGTGTGCTGTCTGTCCCGCCTCCTGGTATAATTTGTGTGCGCTCCTGGTATAATTTGTGTGGTTGCAGTCTTTAATTTCTTTACGCGGTGGAGGGAGAGACCATGATGCTTGTGAATTTGCAGCTCTGACTGGGCCACTCAAGGACATTCAGAGACTTGTCCAGAAGCCACTCCTGCATTGTCTTGGCTGTGTGCTTAGGGTCGTTGTCCTGTTGGAAGGTGAAACTTCGCCCCAGTCTGAGGGCCTGAGCGCTCTGGAGCAGGGATTTCTCTGTACTTTGATCTGTTCATCTTTGCCTCGATCCTGACTAGTCTCCCAGTCCCTGCTGCTGAAAAACGTCCCCACAGCATGATGCTGCCACCACGCTTCACCGTAGGGATGGTGCCAGGTTTCCTCTAGACGTGACGCTTGGCATTCAGGCCAAGGTGTTCAGTCTTGGTTTCGTCAAACAGAGAATCTTGTTTCTCATGGTCTGAGAGTCTTTAGGTGCCTTTTGGCAAACTCCAAGTGGGCACGACAGCCGGCCGCAGAGATGGTTGTCCTTCTAGAAGGTTCTCCCATCTCCACAGAGGAACTCTAGAGCTCTGTCAGAGTGACCATCGAGTTCTTGGTCACCTCCCTAACCAAGGCCCTTCTCCCCCGATTGGTCAGTTTGGCTGGGCGGCCAGCTCTAGGAAGAGTCTTTGTGGTTCCAAACTTCTTCCATTTAAGAATGATGGTGGCCACTGTGTTCCTGGGGACCTTCAATGCTGCAGAATTTTTTTGGGACCCTTCCCCAGATCTCTGCCTCAACAGAATCCTGTCTCGGAGCTCTACGGACAATTCCTTTGATCTCATGGCTTGGTTTTTGCTCTGACATGCACTGTCAACTGTGGAACCTTATATAGACAGGTGTGTGCCTTTCCAAATCATGTCCAATCAATTGAATTTACCACGTGGACTCCAATCAAGTTGTAGAAACATCTCAAGGATGATCAATGGAAACAGAATGCACCTGAGCTCAATTTCGAGTCTCATAGCAAAGGGTCTGAATTCTTATGTAAATAAGGTATTTAGGTTTTTTATTTTGTATAAATTTGCAAACATTTCTAAAAACCTGTTTTCGCTTTGTGATTATGGGGTATTGTGTGTAGATTGCTGAGGATGTTTCTTTTTTTAATCAATTTCATAATAAGGCTGTAAAGTAACAATTTGAAGAAAGTCAAGGTGTCTGTATACTTTCCGAAGGCACTGTATATGATGGTTTATAAAGCCAGGCATGTTTAACAGTTAGGCTATTGATTATAGACCTAATTAAGTTCGTTTCCTCTCTCCTCACTTTTCTTAAAGGGCTGTTTTCTCATCTCCTAACTCTGCTGCAGCCTCCACCGCATTGTTCTCAATACCAATATGCTGGTTAACTTTGCTATTATGCACATAGCAACATGGTCTAGGAAAAAGCTTCAATTCAACAGCGCACTGATGTTTCAGAACCGCGGACAGCGACCACTATCCAACGCGGGAGACAGCGCATATGTTATAGAATAATATTGGTTTTGTTAGTGTTGCACTATTGCACCAACATAAAGCACCTTTAGCAAAAAATGTGCAACCCTGGGGATCTGGCTACTTTTTCTATTTGGTTGGCTACTCTATGTACTTGTGGGAAACACTGGAGAGACTAGAGGCTATTTCAGACATGACTGATATGAGAGGTAGATCACTTCCAGTTGACAGAATAAAGCATTGTGTCAGTTCTCTATCCCTTATCGATGATTGTTTCTTATTTTAGAGCCTAGGGCTGGTACCTTATCTCATATATTTCCTGTTCAGGGGTTGGATATCATCAGTCTTCTCAATGGCAACCACATAATGATCATTTTGTGTGTGTGTGTGTGTGGTGACAGGTTGTCTTATTGTGGCTGAAGCGAGTGTGAACTGTCTTCATCGTTTTCTGTCTAAATTGGCAACATGGAATTCGTTTTTTTATTTTTATCTCTGTGCAGACTGCAGACACGGTCAACAACCACCAACGCCCCTACAAACGACCCTACACACAAAATGCGTGCGAGCACACACACACGCAATCACACACACTGTCCCCGCTTCATTAATCAAATCCCCTACTCCCTCTGCATGTTATTTAATCTCCATTTCACATCATGAATATGAACAATTATGATATAAGATGACATGGATCTAATCAATAATGATGATCAGTCAGACGTGGATCAATATCCTGTCCTTCAAGAAGAGTCTCTGAGCACGGCTCTCTGTCCCCCAGGAGTACAGAAGGAAAACAGAACATTACATTACAGTAGCTTCACTGGATACCAAACCCAGGTCTGCTGTGTGACTAAAGAGCATGTTAGCCCGCTGAGCTAAAGCCTAGTCGCTAGATCTGGGAGCTACAACAAGTCTTCAGGTCTCAGTCAACGTTACTCAACACAGTTTACTGAACCTCCACTGCATAGCCTATACATTAATCTGCACTCTCACAGTATCACAGTTAGGAGCAGATTTTTTATGTGGCCGGTTACACCTGCACACTATTTTCATACTACTCACTAGAGGGAATACCTGATGGAAGGCAGGCTACTAGGACATAACAGTCGTCAACAGACAACCTGCATGTGATGGGCTGATAGAGACAGATTCATGTTTATTTAATTACTCAGAAAATAGCAGGTGCTGTCTCTTTTACTATGCTATTTTCTGGGACACTGTGGACCGACCGGATTTTCAATGCAACAACTGCCTAGTTACGGAAGACAATAGGACAGAGCTGTCTACCCTAAGCAAGCAAATCTCAGTGTTGCACAATTTGCTGGGGAAACCAGTACGTCCACCTACCTTCTCCTTCTCTACACCTCAGGCTGGACGTCATTCCGATGTGGTGAGAGTATCACTGCCCTGTCACCACTCTGACTGACTGGCCAGTGCTTCACCGGGACCTCTCATTGCCAAAACAGCAGTCATGAGTCATGACCGCAGTAAAAGTCCACGTGACCGTTGAGTCACGGTAATCTCCTTTGATGTAGTCTGGGCATGAGTCAGTAGTACCCAACTAGCTAACGACCATCAGGTCGCTAATGGCCGGGTACTCCGCGCTCTATTGTCCCTCTAACCACTCTGACGTCAATGCAAATTAAATCAAAAATGACATCAAACACTTATCATCAAAACTTTTGTGCTTTTAAAACTCATCTCACTCAACAGTTTCCTATGTGTATCAAAAATTGTCCACCACCCAAAGGACATCCAGCCAACTTGCCACAACTTTGGGTGTATTTTTGGGTGATGTGCCTTAATGTGACTAGTCGCTAGATCTGGGATAATAAATACAAAATAAAATACCAGGTGCTCCAAAGCTGCAGGAGGGGAGGTGGTTCAGCTGGGCAGTAGGCTGGCACATTACAGCCACAGCAGTGTTTCCAGTTGCCCTGAACAGAAAGCATATCTGATCTCTGGTGGCTAATGAAACAACAGAGCTGTTAGTTTAATGCATTTGGCTAGCTGTAGTGAGATGGGTCTCACACCCCAGGTTTTGATGAGTGAGTGAGTGAGTGTTCAGTAATCAGGGCGCTAGGGTTAACCTACACACCAGTAGTAGAGCCTCTTGATACTGACAGCAGTCAGTCATACTACAGTCTAGAAACACTAATGTTCCTGTTCTAAATGACATATAATTGCATTGCAAGAATAATACTGACTCTCCCTCCCTCCCTCCCATCTCTCTCTCCAGGGGCTCCACCAGTTGTACTATGACCCTAACATTGAGAATAAGAACCTGGCCCAGAAGTGGTTGATGCAGGCTCAGGTCTCCCCTCAGGCCTGGCAGTTCTGCTGGGCTCTGCTCAGCCCTGACAAGGTATGAAATGCCCACATGCACACGCACGCACGCGCACACACCTACACCTAACCCTCTCTCTCTCTTCCTAGGTTCCTGAGATCCAGTACTTTGGGGCTAGTGCCCTCCACACTAAGATATCCCGCTACTGGTCTGATATCCCCTCTAACCAGTATGAGACCCTGAAGACTCAACTCTTCTCCCAGATCGCATGCTTCTCCTCCGGGTCCAAGATGGTGGGTAGATGGATGGATGGACAGTTGGATGGATTTATTAGATCAATAAAAATACATATAACTGGCGGTAGCTACGTGCCTTAAAAACCATCAAGCATAAACACAATTGTAAAGTCGTTGACTTACAAGACGTTGTGGTCCTGTTTCCAAGGTGCTGACGCGTCTGTGTGTGGCGTTGGCCTCCCTGGCCCTGAACACCATGCCAGAGGTGTGGCCGGGCGCCGTGCCAGAAATGGTGCGTGTGTTCCAGGAGGAGGGAGGGGGGGTGGACGGCCGGGCCAGGTGTCTGGCCCTGCTGGAGCTTCTGACCGTCCTGCCTGAAGAGTTCCAGACCAGCCGCATGCCGCAGTACCGCAAGGGACAGGTGAGGGGGCGCTAGAGACTGAAGGGTGCCAATGGGCACAACAAAAAGGCAGACAGGCACACAGACAGACACACAAAAGGACAAGTGGTGGTGGGTTAGTATTTCCTGTAACCTTGTATCTCTCTGTCTGTAGGTGCGAGGTGCTCTGGGTCGTGAGTGGGGGTCAGTGTGTCCACTGCTCCAGCAGCTGCTGCGTCGAGGGGACAGTCCCGGGGCAGTGAAGGCTCGTGTCCTGCGCTGTCTGTCCTCATGGGTGCTGCTGGACGTCCCTCTCAGTGAGAGTGAAGGACTGGTGGAGGACTGTTTCACTGCTTTACCAGACCCCGAGCTGTTTGATTCCGCCGTGGAGGCTATTGTCAACGCCATATCACAACCCGACTCTCAGAGGTGCGTATGGGCCGGGGGGAGGTTGTGAGTGTGTGTCAACCAGAGTATGTGAGCGGAGTGTGCCCAATTTGACTGGAGCGTGGGGCGAGATTCCCAAAGGCTGGAGCGTCGACCTTCTCGCCCGCTCCAATTTCACTCTAGTAGCGCTCCAGTAGCGCTCACTTCACCAACTCAGGGCATGCCGGCCCAGCATGCATTTGTAGTCTACTTGTGTGCTGCTATCGCCCCTTGCTTTACCTACTGTCATGGAGTTTGCTAAATATTTTCATAAAGAAACTGATAAAACACACAGGTGCTAAGTCAAGGTGACTTACAAAGATGAGGAGCAAGAGAGGGAGTGGGGTGATGTAGTGTCCACAACTAAAGAATCATTGTGGAATCTGAAAAGACATGTATCCCGACAGCATGATGGTATGCTTACTACGTGCACATGCTAACAGAAAGGAAGGAGGTGGGTAGATAACTAAGTGTCTCTTTGTAGCAAAGTATTTATAAACAACAACATCTGATCTCTTAAAGTTTTTATTTTTTTTTATTTTTTTTACATTTTAGTCATTTAGCAGACGCTCTTATCCAGAGCGACTTACAGTTAGTGAGTGCATACATTTTCATACTGGCCCCCCGTGGAAATCGAACCCACAACCCTGGCGTTGCAAGCGCCATGCTCTACCAACTGAGCTATTATCTATACAATGGGCCATAATAGATTTTGGCCCAATAGGCCTGGCATATTCCCACGTTCAAGGAGCTTTCCGTTTTGATTGGATTATTTTGCCTAAAAACCTTTAGGCCTACCTATAGAAAAATAAAAAAACAACTCTGCATCTCCCCAGCTTGGCAAGAGTGGCAAAAGGGTGTTTAGAATCCCCTGCTGACCTGCTCTCCAGGCACCATCGCGTGAGCCTGAAGCCACAGACTGGCCAAACTCGTGTTTCAAAGGCACTGATAAGTCATTTTTCATTTAATTCTAAGTAAATCACAGCATATATGCGCAATTTATAGACTATAATGATTAAATACAACAAAATGTTTAAATGCTGAGCCCTTTATGTCCCTACCAGCCTATTGTGTCACACTCACAAATGCTTCACAATGTATTTCTTTGTAGGCTATAGCCTTGAATTAATTAAAATGATACAATTAGTCTTTGTTCATTCTTAGGCTCCCTGTCTATCTCCTGACCTATTTAGTGTTTATATGCTGTTTAATATGACATGTAGCCTATTTGAAATTATGTGCGCTTCTTACATTCACCTTTTCATGTTTATTCAAATACTTTTCATTCAAATCCATATGGTTTGGTTTCAATACTTCAAAACAAATGGTAGGTCCAGGTAGTCACAAAAATAGATGGGTGTTGGTTCAATTGTGATTTTAATGAATGGAGTGAATTTGTAGCATCAGTTTTTTTTCATGTGAGCGTGGAGCGGTTTTTAGTGGAGCGGTTGGAAAGGACATGGAGCTCCATGAGCGGGATTTCCAATGAGAGAGAGAGAGAGAGAGAGAGAGAGAGAGAGAATATCCACCTAGAGCAGGTTGGAGCTATGATCACACTGCTGACAGTGTGAACTTCTCAAGTCTCCTCATCCTTCATGTTGTTTTAATTGCTCTATAAGTAAGGCCAGTATGACTGGTGGAGGAATGAATGTGAACCTCATATTTCTCTCTTAATTGTAGTGTCATCAAACCTGGGGCAGAAAACACTCAATTACATTCAATGTTTGTGTCTGTGTGTCCTTCCTTCCTCTCTTTCGTTCACTTACAATCTTTCTCTCCTTCTCACCCTTCTTTTCTCTCTCGTTCCTCCTTTTCACCCATTTCTCTCTTCCCTCCTCCTTCTCTGTCTTCGTTTTAAATACTGGACAGGGGAAATTAGTTGCCTGGCAACAGGACACAGTTGGACCAATAGCATTCTCCCAAATTACTTGACTGTAATGTGTTTAAGCAGAGGGAGAGGGAGGAAAAGAGGGAGGTGAAAAGAGAGAGGCGCCTTTAAAGGAAAAATCCACCGAAAACCACTCATTCCTTTAATTTACATTGTTAAATAACACTATGTGAGAACAATATTTTTCATTTTGGTGTTATAAGGTTGGTGGCAACATGGAAAATCGTTGTGGAAATCTGTTGCAGCTCAAGTCAACTACAAAATCCACAATGCAATGCTCTCTCTATGGGCTAGGTAGGTAGCTAGCTAGCAAGCAAACATAGCTACACACAATAATACCAAAGACATTATCAGCATGTAATGTAGCTAGTTGGCTGTAAAATGGCCTAAACAAACTGCACTGTCAATTTAGGAGTCTACAATCTCACCATGTCTAACCTGCAGATCAATGTGCCTAGAGTCTGATATTCACAACAACAGATATACACTACCGTTCAAAAGTTTGGGGTCACTTAGAAATGTCCTTGTTTTCGAAAGAAAATCAATTTTTCTGTCCATTAAAATAGCATCAAATTGATCAGAAATACAGTGTAGACATTGTTAATGTTGTAAATGGCTATTGTAGCTGGAAACGGCTGATTTTTTTATGCAATATCTACATACAAAATGGCCAGAAACAAATAACTTTCTTCTGAAACTCGTCAGTCTATTCTTGTTCTGAGAAATTAAGGCTATTCCATGCGAGAAATTGCCAAGAAACTGAAGATCTCGTACAACGCTGTGTACTACTCCCTTCACAGAACAGTGCAAACTGGCTCTAACCAGAATAGAAAGAGGAGTGGAAGGCCCCGGTGCACAACTGAGCAAGAGGACATACATTAGTGTCTAGTTTGAGAAACAGACGCCTCACAGGTCCTCAACTGGCAGCTTCATTAAATAGTCACTGCAAAACACCAGTCTCAACGTCAACAGTGAAGAGGCGACTCCGGGATGCTGACCTTCTAGGCTGAGTTGCAAAGAAAAAGTATTATCTCAGACTGGCCAATAAAAAGAAAAGATTAAGATGGGCAAAAGAACACAGACACTGGACAGAGGAAGATTGGAAAAAAGTGTAATGGACATAGGAAGTTTGAGGTGTTTGGATCACAAAGAAGAACATTTGTGAGACGCAGACCAAATGAAAATATGCTGGAGGAGTGCTTGATGCCATCTGTCAAGCATGGTGGAGGCAATGTGATGGTCTGGGGGTGCTTTGGTGGTGGTAAAGTGGGAGATTTGTACAGGGTAAAAGGGATCTTGAAGAAGGAAGGCTATCACTCCATTTTGCCACGCCATGCCATACCCTGTGGACGGCGCTTGATTGGAGCCAATTTCCTCATTCAACAGGGCAATGACCCAAAGCACAGCTCCAAACTATGCAAGAACTGTTTAGGGAAGAAGCAGTCAGCTGGTTTTCTGTCTATTATGGAGTGGCCAGCACAGTCACCGGATGTCAACCCTATTGAGCTGTTGTGGGAGCAGCTTGACCGTATGGTACGTAAAAAGCGCCCATCAAGCCAATCCAACTTGTGGGAAGCATGGGGTGACATTTCTCAACAAATTGACAACTAGAATGCCAAAGGTCTGCAAGGCTGTAATTGCTGCAAATGGAGGATTCTTTGACGAAAGCTAAGTTTGAAGGACACAATTATTATTTCTATTAAAGATCATTATTTCTTACCTTGTCAATGACTACATTTCCTATGCATTTTGCTATATTTCCTATTCAAACTCATTTCATGTATGTTTTCATGGAAAACAAGGACATTTCTAAGTGACCTCAAACTTTTGAGTGGTAGTGTACTTTTGAGGAGATGGGAAACGTTGCCCATGCTACGTCAATGGGCCGCACGGTGCATTCTGGGTGATTCTGGGACAAGGAGCTCTCTCCTTCAAGGAATGAAAGGGAGTCTATTGGGCGCTAGCTCAAAAACCCAACATTGGCACGGATTTCATCAACAAGAAGTAAAACATTATAAATCTTTTCCCGAGATGTGAGATAATTAACTTGTTATCTGTAATATCATATAGCTTTGGAATCGTGACATTACGTACTTTCGAGGAAAATAGGTACGTTTCTCGACATACAGTGCATTCGGAAAGGATTCAGACCACTTTACAGCCTTATTCTAAAATTGATGAAATGTCCCCCCCCCCCCCCCCCCCATCAATCTACACACAATACCACATAATGAAAAAAGCAAAAACAGGTTTCTATACATTTTTGCAAATGTATTAAAATAAAAACTGATATCACATTTCCATAAGTATTCAGACCCTTTACTCAGTACTTTGTTAAAGCACATTTGGCAGCGATTACAGCCTTGAGTCTTCTTGGGTATGACGCTACAAGCTTGGCACACCTTTGTTTTCTCCCATTCTTCTCTGCAGATCCTCTCAAGTTCTGTCAGGTTGGATGGGGAGCATCGCTGCACAGCTATTTTCAGGTCTCTCCAGAGATGTTCGATCGGGTTGAAGTCCGGGCTCTGGCTGGGCCACTCAAAGACATTCAGAGACTTGTCCCGAAGCCACTCCTGCGTTGTCTGGGTTGTGTGCTTAGGGTCGTTGTCCTGTGGGAAGGTGAACCTTCGCCCCAGTCTGAGGTCCTGAGCGCTCTGGAGCAGGTTTTCATCAAGGATCTCGCTGTACTTTGCTCCGTCTTTTGCTCGATCCTGACTAGTCTCCCAGTCCCTGCCGCTGAAAAACATCCCCACAGCATGATGCTGCCACCACCATACTTTTCCATAGGGATGGTGCCAGGTTTCCTCCAGATGTGACGCTTGGCTTTCAGGCCAAATAGTTTGATCTTGTTTCTCTTGGTCTAAGAGTCGTTTAGGTGCCTTTTGACAAACTCCAAGCGGGCTGTCATGTGCCTTTTACTGAGGAGTGGCTTCCGTCTGGCCACTCTACCATAAAGGCCTGATTGGTGGAGCGCTGCAGAGATGGTTGTCCTTCTGGAAGGTTCTCCCAACTCCACAGAGGAGCTCCGGAGCTCTATCAGAGTGACTATCGGGTTCTTGGTCACCTCCTTGACCAAGACCCTT